CTATGTGTATATATATATATATATATATATATATATATATATAATTAATCTTTTATTAAATCTGTATCGTATTCTGATTGAAGATTTGTTAAAAATTAATTCGCACTCTACCGTCTGTGCTTGACTCCTATGGCCCTGATTATCTGAATTTATTTTAAATTGAGGAGTCCTTATATTTTAAACTTTTTTGTGCATTCAATTATTCTTATAAATTAGATTTCTTATATAAAAAAATAAGATATCAGTTTTTTTTCTTCTTCCTAGTTACATATAAATTTCTAGAAATAGATTTTTATGTATAATACTTAAATCCTTGCATTATTGCGTGAATTCATACGGCGTATTCAGTTTATTTTTGTATTACAATTATAATCTTCAATATTCCAATAATACAATTTATTGCATTTTGCGCACATGTAATTGTACAATTATTATTGTAATTGTTCGGATTGAGTCAGATTTGTTAAACGAATTAGAAATTTATATTTAATTGACAAAAAATTTTTTGACAAAAATAGAATAATTAAAATTTTCTTTTTAATTTTTTATGTTTATATTATTTACAGATGTACGTAAAATTTGAGCGTTAATTGAAAAATATTTTATAGTAAGTATAATTATATTAATTATTTTTCAGTTAATCAATTGTTTTTATAAAATAAATAAATAGTGTAACAAAAATATGATATATAAAGATAAATTTAACGTCAAGTTTAATCTTCAAGCAGCCATTTCTCGGGCATTACGTCGCGCTTTTCAACGAATTGGCCTTTGAGTAACCCGTAACAATTCAAAACCAGCTGCAACTCCGATATGTAGGCGTTTACCCACATAAAAGCGGCTTCGTAATCAACTCGAAGATCGATATATGTCGCAATTATTGTTTATAATGCTGCTTAATTATAAGCAAAACGTCAGAAGTACACGCAACGACTGAGACTTTGTTACATAAAAAGTAGCTTAATGAAGCCCCATATATTATGATTTGAGCAATAACGTTCGTCGATTCTTCGCTTCGTTGTCATTAATATTGATATCTTTGATAGCGTGTGATTTTGCTACCATTTCATTTTCTTTCTGTTAAATATAAAAAAATCTAATATCCAAAAAACAAATTGATCGATGAAATTGTGAAAATACGAAATTGCCAATAATTCTTATACACTATAGATGATATCGATCAAAAATGTGGAGAAAACAAGTTTGTCATTGAAAAAATAGTATATAAGTAATAAAGATTATAAAAATAATATATTTGTTAAAATAGCTATATAAAAAGAAATTAATAAAAAAATCTAAGACCAATAACTTGCAAATAATCATATTTTTACAAGGAATAGTTATTTTTTTCATATTACAGATAGCTCTCGTTTTCTAAAAAATATAAAACAATTCATATCATATTAGTTATTAGTTATATAGTTTGTATTTATTATAAATATTGGAGTATAATAAATATTTAATTTTTATAATACAAATATTATTTTTTATTACTTCTTAATTGTTAAAATAGACTTTCCAAGATAAAAAGAATCTATTTTAATGTTAAAATAAAAATTAAAAAGTTAATCTCTTTTAAATAAAAGTATTTTACATAAAAAAATAATAATTTTGTATTCAGTCTATTACTCTAATAAAAATATTTCCTATTCAATAATGCTGAATAACAGAAGCTATGTTGGCCAAAAACACGTCAATCAATGTGTCAACCAATCTTATTAAGATGTTATTAAGACTTTAAATCATGTTACAATACTATTATCAACTTGCTCCATAAATTTCAACAATATAACAGAATTCTCAATAAATATGCACTTCTTAATGCACCTTTTTTTGATAAAATTTTAATAAAAGCTATATACGATAAGAAGATATTAATGTTTGAATTAATTGTAATTAAAAATAAAAGTCTTTTCAAAATAAAACTTTAGGCAAATAAATAAAGTCAGCAAAATTATTTTAGTTAATTTTTTAGTAAATTTTAGTTAATTTTTTATGTGAAATTTATTTATGTAAACTTTTTAAATATATATTAAGATTAAATAATATAAATTTCATATAATAAATTTAATTTAACAAATTTATTAAATTTAATTTAATAA